TCTCCCCGCAAGTTCCCCCAGCCTGGGAGAGAGGCCTCATGGGTCAAAAGACCAAGTGCAACCAGAGGGAACACCAAGGGAAACAGCCAGTGAAGAACACTGCCATTCCCAACTGAATATTCACGGCCACGCGTGTGAGGGTCATGGAGGAGGAAGAAAGACAGACAGACTGTGACCCCTGCCGGGGCGTGCTCTGCTGGCAGCGTCATGGCCCTACCCATGGTTGTGGTTTGCTATGGTTTGAATGATGGTGACTCTTTGAAAATCCACGTACAAATGAATTCTCTGGGTTGGCCAGCAAGACGGTGGCAAGGCAACTGCACACCATCTATCTGCCTGACTGCATGGTTTGAGTCCTGGACCCGAGCGAGGCTTGAGAAACAGGCTGGGTGCACGTGTGTGCGTGCGTGCCCTAAATCCTGAGACACAGGGAGGAGAAGGGATCCTGCTGAGGTCATGCCTCTGGGGATGGGGGTGATCTCTCACTTTCTCTCTCTCTGTCTCCGGCAAGTGCACACTCCCTATCGTAAACTAAACAAACACCCCAAACTGAATCTCCAATGCAGCAGTGTTCAGAGGCAAGTGAGTTAGAAGGGCTCCTCCCCCGTCAATCACATGGCGCCCTTGTAAAAAGGCTTCACAGAGGGAATTTGCCCGCCTCATCCCTTTCATCCCTTTTGCCCTGTGAGACACTACCATGTCCTCTACTCTTGGAAGCAGAGCGCCACCTTGGGCAGACACTGACCTCTAGCACTCTGCTCTTGGGCGTCTCAGCCTCCTGAACCATGAGCAATGTGTTTCTGTTCTGTTCTACCCAACATCAAGTCTTTGTCACAGCAGCACAGGCTCAGGCAGTTCTCTAAGAGGGCACTCAAAACTTCTCCAAAGCAGGGGGGCCCCCTCGGAGTAGAAAGTCCCTAGAAGTCCCATGACAATCATTTGTGAGAGAGGTGAGGGGCTGTTGCAATGGGCTCTTTGGTTAGATGCCTTTTAAAGCCCAGCCTCATCGGGGTTCTACAACTGAGAAGGCTTTAGGGTTCCGAAGGGCCTCCAGTGGCTCGAAAAGCAAAAATAAGCAGAAGCAGCTCATATGTCAATAAGGCAAGTAACCAAGGAAAGTAGGTGCTTTTAATCCCAGGGAATGTCAGCAAAGATGTGTAGGAGGCTGGGTTATTTTTAGCACTCAGTGAAGGCACATTCTTCTTTTGACAATAAGAACAAAGAAAGCAATTAGAAACTTCAGGAAAACCAGAAGGTATACAAGAAAGCCACAGTCTAAATAGAAAGCAAAAGCAATGTGGCAGGTCTTGAACCCTAGAAGGAGCATAAGCAAATTGCACACACGTTTGACCTTGACATTTAGAACCCCTCTGGGCAGCCTGGGCATCATGACATTGGATCAGAGGACAGGACCTGTAAGCCATGGACCGCTTGGCTCTGCAGGGCACATGACTGATTCGCACAGGCACGAGAATGCAGTATCGGCTTATTGATTTTTTTTTAACTTTAGAATCAGTTTATGGACAAACTACAACTATTATAAGGATGACTTCAGAACAGCACATATAGATTGCCATCTTTTACAATGTAAAAGTAAGACCATTGGAGGCATAAGTCGAGGGGGAGAAGGGTCGGAAGGGAAGAGACAGAGGAGTGATGACTCATTTTATAAAGTGGGAAGTCATTCGATAACACATCTACCCTATGGAGTAGCAAGAATTATTATTATTTTAGAGTTCACATATAACCAGTAGGAGAGCCAAGAATCTTTTTTGAATGATTTTTTTTTTTAATTCCCGAAAGGACATGCACATGCCGGAGCCAGAGAGAGAGAGAGAGAAAGCATCCACCGATGCAGTGTGGCCATGCCACAACCCCTTCTCCTCCACCTCCCCACGCCGATGGGATATGGGGAACATGCACATACACACCCAGTGTGTTTTAAAGCCACTGGGGAGAATTTGAACCACGGTGGATCATGTGGGATTTGGAATCCCTTAACCACTAGACCACAAGGCTGGTCCCCAAAGGCCCCCTTTCTATAAGGACACCAAGAACTTTACCTTTGCTCTTGACCTCCAGGTGGTTATGAAGGCACCTGGTGTAGGAGAATACAAGTGCTACGTCACTTGCAAGATTCATAACTTTTTTTTTTAAGAGGAGCATAAGGTGCCTTAGGATGCATGCACTCACCACAGAGACAGAGGCAGAGATGGTGAGAGAGAAAGTGAGAAATCACCCTCCCCGGGGGGATGGGCATGCTGCAGTGCCCTCTGCTCCATTCCTCCCAGGATCTTGGACATGCACAGTCACGTTCCCAGCATGATTTTCCAGTTCCAGGACTTGAACTGTGGTTGGCCAGGTGGGAGTCCAGCAACGTATCTGCTACGCATCTGCTGCCCCCAAGATTCATAACTCTTAAGTGTGTAGAACTATGCCATGTGGCTCCAGTGGGATCCTCACCCAGGCCCCACGGATGTTGAGGCAGGCCTGGTGTATGTGACCACAGCAGACATACAAACGGAAGCTATGAGAAGTTGCCACCTCTGGGGAGGGGACGGGGAGAGGAGGGATGGGGAAAGAGAATTGTGTTTGTACGAAGCCTCTGTTCTCCATTTGCATGCTTTGCTTTGATAAAGCTCTGGAAAATGATCTAAGTGCTGCCCAGTTTGCCTGACCCCCAGCTCTCACCCCCTTCTCGGAGCTTCTCAGCCCTCAGCAGACGTGCAGTTTGTCCTGCCCCCATTGCTCTCCCAGAGGCCTCTGCAGCCCACTTCGCCTCCCCAGACCAACCAGCAGCTGCCTCTTCTCTTCTGTCTCCCCACGAGAGGTTGCCCTGGGCAGAAGGGCATTGCCCTGCCCTGTGCTTGGTCCGCTGAAGCCATCTCTTCCCTCCATTTCCTGCCCTGTGCTCCCGCTGCACCCCCTGCTACCCTCCGGGCTGGAGAAGCCAGGAGAGGGAAGATGGCCTCCTAGGCAGCCCTGTGAGCACCCAGGCTGCGAGCAGTCTCGGCTCCGAGCTGCTGGGTCCCCTCCTGGGAGAGGACTGCTAGGGGCGTGCCCACCCCCACCATGGAGGTGAACGCACTTGCCCCTCGGCCTCTGCCCGCAGCGGGCCACATGTCCCTGCGAGCTGCCTCCAAGGGTTGGCTGGTCCTTAGCTGAGGTCCACACAGCCCTGGTGGCCCTAGGCCTATTCCTGAGCGTCTTCTCTGTGCTAGGGATCGGCGAGAAATGACCAGGTGTCTGCCCTCACGGGCTTCCTCGCCATTGGAGGGTCACCCAGCAGGTGCTTTAAGACAAACAATTGCAGTCGATGGAAAAGCTCTGAGGAAGGACAGGGGGCTCTGAGAATGAGTGACAAGGGCTACTGTGAACGCGATGCTCCCCGCAGGGCTGCTCTGGGACCAGGTGGTGACACAGTGGGAGAACACCTCACTCCCCAAGGCCATCCCACAGAGGTTCGTGGCTCAAGTCTGGAGAGCTCCCTGAGTTTGCTGGGCATACATGCGCCCATGATCTGGGGCTGGCTTAAGCTCGGGGTGGGCTGTGGTGTCAACGCCCAATGACAGCTGCTGTCTCTCTGTCTCTCGCTCATGGGAGAAATCAATAATCTTTAAAACATAGTTTTAAAAGGGCAGCGCCAGTGAGGTGGTGTTTAATGGCTATGCCAGAAGGAAGCAGCCCCATCAGAGGGCCTGAGGGTTGGGGAGGATGGTTGCACGCTGACCCTGGCGTACTTTGGTGGTGTAAGGGGTTGTTTGAGGAGGGAGGCGAGCTCCTCAAAGCACCCTGGAAGTGAGGCTGGTGGCATGGCCTTGTCAAGGGAGGGTGAATATACGGGCCATGCAGAAGCACGATAAATCCCCCTCCACCAGGAAGCCTCCCTGACTGTCACCAAGGTCACCGATTCTCCCCTCTGGTTTATTGAACCGTGGACAGGTGAGCTTCCAGTCTGGCTGGCCCACCAAGTCCAGGGCTTTCCCAGAATCCTCCAGCACAATCAGGTGACATGTCATCTGTGCTGCAAAGTCCCTAGTCAGTCCATAACCGTGTCTTCGCGTCAGCCTGGGCATCCGTGTGGGCAGCTCGCCTTTGACTCCTGCAGGGCTCAGAAGCTCCCAGGACAGACCCACAAGCTCTCGGAGCAGCTCACCCGGGAGTCGCAGTCAGAGTCGGCAGGCGGCAGCTTCAAGCACACGCCGCCCCACAGCCTGGCTTCTCACTGCCCTGCCGGGTGGAGCCCAGCCACCGTCAGTCCCCTTTGGCTTTCTCCGCTCCTCACCGAGACGCTGCCCCACACGTGGGAGCACACTCACTTCCACACACAAACACACATGCTCAGACAGATGCAGGTTTCAGGTCCCCCACAAAAAAGCACATGAATGCACACGCTCACACAAAATGCACACATTTACGTGCAAGCACACACACGAGAAAGACACAGGGTGTCAGCTCTGTACAAACACACACTAAGAATGCAAACACACACAGACACAAAAATGCACACTCATATACAAATGCATGCTCACACACAGAGACGCACATCTACCCACACGCACACACCAAACAGACATAGGATGGCACACAAACACACACACTCAGACATTTTCAAACCCACATGCATTCGCACAGTCTCACACATCCACTCAAACACATAACAAACTCACCACACACACTCTCACGTCCCACAGACTCACAGAACTTATACCTGCACACATGTATGGACACATGCGCACACACACGCACACACACACACACACACACACACCTGCGTAGCCTCGACTAGGAAGGGAAGGCCTCTCGCCCTTTTTCCCCTGTTGGAAGTGAGGATGGACATCTCACCTTCGAAGAGATTTTCTCTCTCACCCTTCCCCCATAGAGCCTCTGGCCCATCCTTCCTGGACCCCGTCCAGACAGTGCTGTGTCTTTAAGGAAGCTGAAGCTGTTAAAAGTGAGTGAGAGAGAGAGAGAAAACACAACCAAAAAACTCTGGCACCTCTCCCCGAAGTTTCTGGTGTCACTTGTGAAACTCAGCCGGTCGCTGCAGCTGCACAGAGCAGTTGTTTTGCAGGAAGGAGGGAGCGAGCCGGCTGCCCGGCCCTCCCTGCAGCCTCCTCTCAGCTGAAGGCCCAGGCACCCTGTCTGGGGCAGGGTGGGCACCAGGGCGCATACCAAAGGGTGGCAGGCCCACCGGCCCCTTCTCCGGCACCCGGCCGTCCCTTGGGGGCCCTCAGCCTTGCAGCTCTCAGGTCAACGGGCCCTTTGTTGCTTTTTGGCTTCCTCTTAGAAGAGGCTCCGCTGGACCGAGGGGGAGTAGTTTGAAGGTGAGCCAGAGGGAAGAGGCCTCTAGGGGTCCGAGGGAGGAAGGGAGACCTGCTGGACACCCACCGCAGCTGTGTCCCTGTTACTACAGCCTGTGGGTGCGAAGTGCTAGGGACAATGCCTTGCGTGGGTGGCTGTTCCTCCACAAGGAAATCCCAGCTGTGTTTGGGCCGAGCCATAGCCTCTCCCAAGGCAGCGAGAGGTCCTGGCAGGGGTGTATTTAGGCAGCTGCGGGGCGTAGCTTGCAGAGAGCAGGCCACTGGTGTGTCTGCAGAAAGACCTGGTGTCTGCTGTGGTCAGGGCGGGCGGAGGGGAGGCGGGGTAGGGTGGTGGGGGCGGTGTGTGCTGCACAGGGGCCTTGTCTGGGCCGGGGCAGCATACCTATGGGGGCTCCAGTGGGAGGGACTGCGGCCAGGATGTGGGAGGGCAGGAGGGAGGGTCCGAGAAGGGCTGGGGGAGGGGGCGCTGGAAAACAGATTTCAAGTCCTAGAGTCAGCCAGGAGCAGGCCGCGGCAGGGGAGCCCTCTCCACTCAGGAGGAACTGGGGGTCCTCTTCCATCCAGCCTTCACCCTGCCTGGCGCGTGACCTCGGGCAAGTCCTGGCCCTTCCCTGGGCCTCAGTTTCTCCTTCTGTGGATTTGGCAGGGAGGTGGGGTTGTATGGGGCAAGGCCTCCTGACGGGGAAGCTCGGGCTGGGGTCCTTCAGGGGACACGCCTCTCTGGGGCTCTTGGGGACCAGCTGCTGACACACCCGTCTCTGTAGGAGGCGCGATGCAGGAGCTGCGTCTGCTCTGCTGGGCGGTCCTCCTGGGCCTGGCGCAGGCCTGTCCCGAGTTCTGCGACTGTGGAGAGAAATACGGCTTCCAGATCGCCGACTGTGCCTACCGTGAGCTGAAGGCCGTGCCGCCAGGCTTCCCGGCCAATGTGACCACCTTGAGCCTGTCTGCCAACCAGCTCCCGAGCCTGCCGGAGGGCGCTTTCAGGGAGGTGCCCCTGCTGCAGTCGCTGTGGCTGGCACACAATGAAATCCGCACGGTGGCTGCGGGTGCATTGGCCCCACTGGGCCACCTCAAGAGCCTGGACCTGAGTCACAACCTCATCTCTGACTTTGCCTGGAGTGACCTGCACAACCTGAGTGCCCTCCAGCTGCTCAAGATGGACAGCAACGAGCTGGCCTTCATCCCGCGAAATGCCTTCCGCAGCCTGCGGGCACTGCGCTCGCTGCAGCTCAACCACAACCGCCTGCACACGCTGGCCGAGGGCACCTTCGCGCCCCTCACTGCGCTGTCCCACCTGCAGATCAACGACAACCCCTTCGACTGTACCTGCGGCCTCGTGTGGCTCAAGGCGTGGGCCCTGGCCACGGCCGTGTCCATCCCGGAGCAGGACAACATCGCCTGCACGTCACCCCACGTGCTCAAGGGCACGCCGCTGAGCCGCCTGCCGCCGCTGCCGTGTTCGGCGCCCTCGGTACAGCTCAGCTACCAGCCCAGCCAGGATGGGGCTGAGCTGCGGCCTGGCTTCGTGCTGGCCCTGCACTGCGACGTGGACGGGCAGCCAGCCCCCCAGCTTCACTGGCACATCCAGACGCCGGCCGGCACCGTGGAGATCGCCAGCCCCAATGTGGGCACCGACGGGCGTGCCCTGCCCGGCACCACGGCGCCCAGCAGCCGGCCGCGCTTTCAGGCCTTTGCCAACGGCAGCCTGCTCATCCCTGACTTCGGCAAGCCAGAAGAGGGCACCTACAGCTGCCTGGCCACCAACGAGCTGGGCAGTGCCGAGAGCTCAGTGAACGTGGCACTGGCCACGCCGGGCGAGGCTGGCGAGGACGAGCTGGGGCGCAGGTTCCACGGCAAGGCAGCTGAGGGCAAGGGCTGCTACACGGTGGACAACGAGGTGCAGCCGTCGGGGCCTGAGGACGCCGTGGTCATCATCTACCTCAGCCGCGCCGGGGGCCCTGAGGCTGCAGCGGCAGGAGAGGCCAGCCCTGGGCGGCGGTCCCCAGGCCTGCTCCTGTTGGGCCAGAGCCTCCTGCTGCTGCTCCTCCTCTCCTTCTAGCCTGCCCTGCCTGGCTGCCCAGACTCCTCCCAGTGCCCCGGGGGAGTGTTGTGGGGTGTGGGAGACTTGGAATTTTCCTACCTCCCCTTCTAGCCCCTTCTGGGACACTTGCCACCCCCAGCTTCTAGACCTGCTCAGAGCTAGTGACCAGGGTCATTCGACCCCATGACTCGCCTGCCGTCCGTGATGCTCATAGCTGCTAACGGCACTGCCCATGCTCCCCTGGCTGGGCCGGCATGCTACCAGGGCGGTGTCAGGCCCAACTGGAAGAAGCCTCGGGCTGGCGTTCCAGGCACTGTGAGTGCCATGGGGTCAGGCAGGTGTGTGGAGGCTTGTGGGTGGCCTTGGCTGGGCGTGGCCTGAAGCAGACAGCGCACAGAGAGGATGCACAGAGAGGACAGGACAGCCACTGGTGTGGCCTGAGGCTGTCCCAGGAGTTGCCGAGCTCCTCCCGGCCCCTCAAGGCCCCTGGCATTATCTGATGGCCTAGGCCTCAGGAGTGCCCTCCTCCCTGTCTCAGGCAGCACTGGGGGATTCTGGACAGGCCTTCCTCTCCTCTCCTCTCCCCTCCCTTTCCTCCCTCTGCGGTGTGTGGACACCGGCCTTCCTTTCCCTCCACATATGCATCTTAGCCTGCGCCTCCCCAGAGCCCAGCCAGCCAGGGGCTGGCAGAGAAATAAATAGCATTTCTAATGCTCCCCTGTGTCCGGATCTAGAAGCCCCTGGGAGCAGGGTGGGAGCTGGAGAGTCAAGCCAGCCACCCGCCTGCCCAGGCTGTCCAGGGAGTGGCCCAGCGGGGGGCACCCAGGTCTCCTAGGGAGCTAAGCCACAGATGTAGCATCCCCCTAGACTGGCCACCAGGAGAAGGGAAGGAGCCTGGTGGCCGCTGCCTCCCTAAGACACCAGTGACCCTGAGGGGCGCCATGTGGCCGTGTGGCTTCACTTCGGGAGGGATGGGGAGTAGAGTGCTGGTCATTGCCCCTCTGTGGCCAGCTCAGCTCTGGAAGAGAGGTTAGGAATGGCGGCGGGGTGTGTGTGTGAGACAAGACCGGGAGGGGAGGGAGGCGATGGGAGAAAGCCTGGAAGAAACTGTGCTGGAAGGAGAAGCCGGGGAGCTGGACCTGCCTTGGAGGAAGAAATGTATCCGCAGGACTGCAGCCCGGTAGGAAGCCTTTGGGCAGGAGGGCCAGTATCTGACCGGGCAGAAACAGGAAGCAGGTTTGGGGTATGGCAGTGAGCTTTGGGTCTCTCAGAACAGGGAGCACATGGAGGGGTCAGAACTGGCAGAAGAGACACCGCAGACCCCGGCGTCCATGCTAGGCCAGAGAGGCACCTCCTGCTGGCTCTAGCCAGGTCCTGCAGATGGAAGGAGCTGCACAGACTGAGGCGACCCAGTGGGGAGGCTCTGAGGAGCCCCAGAACTGCTGAGCTCAGCACAGTGGAGGCAGGAGGCCAGGGAGTCTGGGGCAGCAGCTGGGAGCCATGACACTGAGCCCTCCTCCTCCCTCCAGTCACATATAGCGCCTCCCGCTCCTGGCACCCCGCGCCAGCAGCAGGCCGGGCCAAATGCCATGTGCTCTGCCAGCCAGGGAGGTCACTCCCCATCTCTGGACTTCGGCTGCCTCAGAAATCAAAGGGCAGGGCATGCATGAGGCCCCAGTTTACCCTCTATCTAAGACCTGGCCGTCCTCACCCGAGCTGTATTCCCTGCACAGCTGCATGGCCTGGGCTCCTTGGACCTAAGGCCTTAGTGGGGGGCAGCATGAGGAACAACCCGGGGGGACAAGCTCCCCCTTGCTTTAAGGTCTCCTGTGACTCCCACTGCCTTGGGTGAAGCCTGAAGTCCTTTCTGCCTCTCCCAGAACTTAGCAGTGATTGTCCCCATGGGCTCTGGGGTGTGATTTCCTGACCTCCACTTTCACTGTTCTGTCCCCTGGGCGCCCCCTCCTCCTTCTCCATCAGCTCAGTCTCTCAGACTTGGCTTAGACATCATCTCCTCCAGGAAGCCTCCCGGGAAGCTCCACCACCTCCAGTGTGAACCACAAAGCCCTGGGCCCAGCAGCCTTGCCTAATCTCCTGTGGTGACTCTCCCTGTCAAAGGCAGACTGGATCTGGGGCCTTTGCCCTGTGACCAGAGGCCTGGAAGACATTTTTTAACCAGCTGCAATGGAATCAGAGCCCTCCTTGGCCTCCTCCTCAGGGCGAGCTGGGAGGTAGGTTTGCATTCCTGGCTGGCAGGGGCCAGGATGGAGGTGTGGGGCTGCTGATCTCAGTTATTGGTGCAGGCATTTTGGAGGCCCTGCTGGCCCAGATTAGGGGTGGCCACGCCCTCTGCCGCCCCACACCAGACCTTGACCCTCAGGCGTGCATGCATCTCCACTCCACACAGGAAAGGGAGGTGGCCACCTCAGTCCCTCCTCCCCCTGCACACTCGGAGGACCTCTGTTCTCCCCACTTCCCCAATCCCTGGAGCCCTCCTCCTCCCCTGTTCTGCTCATTTCTCAGGACCCAGAATAAGCCCCACTTCCAAAGCCGACATCCAACACCGCACAGCTCAGGGTGGCACCACCAGGTCCCCGCTGTTCTGGATACCCGAGGGTCACAGGGTCTTTTCTACCCTACTGCAGTGCTCAGCCTGGGATGCCACCAGAATCCCCCAGCCCCACTGAGCTCTAAACACAGTGGAGGTCATTTCTGACAGGTGAGCGGGTCCCCCCATTGCCTGCTTCCCCCCAACAAGGAGGGCCGTTTCTCAGGGACAAGTTTATTACAGGGAACACACTAACCCCTTTCATAATAGTTAAAGGTATAAAAACTACAGAAACCTCCAGCTCTCTAGGGCGGGCAGCTCGCTGTGGAGCCTGGTATGACTTGTGACTTGCTGCCCAGAGGAACCCATGGCTTCCTCCTGGGGTGCCTCAGGCCAAGAAGCCAGGAGCCCTCCGGCCACTGGGCGAAGGACAGGACCCTGGGGGCAGCTCTGGGGAAGCGAGCAGCCTGCGTGTGGCCGGCTCCACCAGCGCTGAGCGAGGGCCGCCCTACCCATTCTCTCCGGAGCCATGGCTGCCGCTCTCTGGCCCAGGGACAGACCCGAGCTCTCCTGCGGCTCTGAGTGCAGACAGATCTCCACCTGATCCTGCTGACCTAGCTGGTTCCCAGGTCTGATCCTGAGCCTGTAGGAGAGTTGGTGCGATGTGGAGGAGCGGCCAGGACTGGGGTAATGCTGGGATGGCCAGAGGGCGCCAGGCAGTGAGTAAGAACGTGCCTCAGTGCAGAAGCGTGTGGGCCCTCCTGCCTCAGGGCTGGGCACCGTTGGTCCGGACGCCTGTCAGTGCTGTCTTCCGGAAGGCCTGCAGGGTGGGGTTGTGCAGCAGCGTGTAGGCCAGACCCCAGCGGGCCCTACCACAGCTGACTCGGGGCCTTGTCCTCTTGGCCATGGGATCTTTCGTCTGCAGCAGCTGCATCCCTGAGAAAAGAGACCTTCTGTGAGTCAGTCGACAAACACCCAGACCAGCCTTCCCGGCCCCAGACCTGAGCAGAGTCTGAAATTTTGTGCACAGAGAGGGCAGTGAGCGGAGTTCCAGGGCCGGCTAAGTGGGCACTCAGGAGAAGCCAGGGTGTCCGGGGGTGTTTGCAAAGGCTGGGACTCACCCTGTTGGCCGCAAACAGTGGAGGGAGTGAGGGGGTCAGTGGAGGGCTGGGACACTGGCCAGGTGGGGCCTGGAGGGGCCGAGTGTCCCCATCCTGTTACACACTTCCTGGGCAGTGCCAGGCCCCTGAGCCATGTCATCCTGTATGCGCTCACATGGGCGTGTGTTCTTCTCATGGAAAACATGACCCCAAGGCCCGACCAGGAGGGGCGACCGTGGGCAGCCAAGGGAGACAGGAAGCGGGAATGTTCCTGGCTCGGCCTGAGGGTGCTGGGCGCATGCCTCCTTCCTGGGGGAAGCCGGCAAGATTGACTCCTCCTTTCCAACAGAGGCACACCTTCCTCTTCCTCCCCGAGCCTGAGGCTGCCTTGGGGGGCGGTGGGAGGCCGGGGCTGGGGGCCGCGTGCTTGTGCTCGCAGGAGCAGGCTGCAGAAGGCCGTCACGGCTGGATGCGACTGGCTGACCTCGAGCTTCAGGAAGTTTCGGTATGTGCGGTAACCTGGGGAGGGGGGTGGAGGCTGAGCACAGCTAGGGAGGGAGGGGCCGCCAGGAGGCTCGGGGCACC